GCCGGCCGGGCTCTCCCGGCCCAGGACTGTTGGGAAGTTTTGCTAGGCGACCTGACTGGGCGCCGTTTACTTTCAAAACCCGTTTGCTGTTAGCCTTCCAGGGTGCCTCGCTGTGGGTTTATGTAACTAAAAGTTTATGTAACTGAAGTTTACATTAAGTCTTAATTCGCTTCGGTCCTGTGGAAAAGGGAACCCTACGCTGCAAGCCTTAAGATTGTCCTGAAAACAAAACAAAACAAAAACAAAAAACTGGGGGGGGGGGCTGGCGGGTTTTTTTTTTTATAATATGAATTGTTAGACATTTTAAAACTTGTTTACCGAAGTTGTGTGTGAATTGTCGAAAGGGAACGGAGGGGATGGTCCCACTTTCTCAGGCACGCCCAAGCAGGTGGAGAGTGTAGGTCCAATGCACTCACTTTGTTTTTATTAATGTCTTTATTTGAACCATAGATTTGTGGTCAGGTTTTATGGCTAGTAAGTCCACTGTATCCCCCTTTCTAGGCCCTGCAATCCTGGGAATTGAACTCCGTACTTACTGCTTGCTAGGGGAGTGATGGCTACTAAAAGCCAGCTACTTTAGTAGAAAAACTAGACTTAAGCAGCCAAGAAGGGAACGGCCCTAACGAAAATGCATCCTAGTCGTTGAACGTTGGTCGTGAAGTAATTGAGCACATCTGTTACGGGACTCTCTTTGGGAAGTTCTTTGGCAATTCCCACCACAGGGGGAATTGCCCTCCGGTGTGTGATTACTACGCCGCCAGTGATCAGTGCAGACACTTGCCGTGAACTGCGAGTGGACCTTTGGAATTAGAAGAAATAAGAAATCTGGGAAGAAATATGCTGCCTTTGTGTAGGTACGGGTTGATTTGATAGAAAGGAAGAAATGTTTGTGATTTCTCTTCCCATCACTTTTTCCACAGCAGACTTTGGAAATTTTGGCTTTTCATGTGTTTGCTTTTTGAAGAAGTTGGCATTGTGTTTTGCTTTTTTGAGACAGGAGTTCTGTGTAGCCCTAGGCTGTACTGGAACTCACTCTGTATTGAACTCTTGAGATTTGCCTGCCTCTGCCTCCCCAGTGCTGGAACTAAGGGGGTGCCTCACCACACCCCGCTAAGAAGTTAGCTCCCACTTTGTGTGGTTATGAAGCGAGTGTTACAGCACACATGTGGGAATCCTCCATCCATCAGTCTCTCTTCTGCTAGTTCCAACCCTCTGCATTTATATAGCTCTACAGTACCATATCTGAATTAATTCTTTTTTGTTTTTTAGATTTTAGTCTCTCACTTGTAGCTCTGGAAATCAGTGGTCAGTTTGACTCTGCCTCCCGAGTGCTGGGATTAAGTTGTTGTTTTGTGTCTCTCTCCCCCCCCCCCCCACCCCCCGTTTTTTTTTTCTGTCCTCTTCATTTTCTTTTGGGTACAGGGTGTACAGGGTTCATTTTTTTTTTTTTTTAGCTCTAGCTGGCTTAGAACTTGGTATGTAGATTAGGCTAGTCTGGAATTCACAGATCCACCTGTGTCTGCCTGTAGTGTTCAACCATGCCTGGCCCAGAGTACAACTTTTGGAGTCAGTTCTCCTCCTTTCATGGATTACTAGGGTGGAACTCAAGTTGTAGTGAGTTCCAAGCCAGTCCAGGCTACACAGTGAGACTTTGACCTAAAGGGATGTGGAGTAAGGGAAGCAAACCCCACCACACCCCCACACCTCCACCCCCACCCCCGACAGGGTTTCTCTGTGTAGCTTTGGAGAAGCTGGCCTCAAACTCAGAGACCCGCCTGCCTCTGCCTCCTGAGTGCTGGGATTAAAGGCGTGCGCCACCAATGCCCAGCTGGCACACACCTTTCATTCCAGCACTGGGACAAACAGGCAGGATGGTTTCTAGTTTAAGGCCAGTTTGGTTTTACTGATGGAGTTCAGGACAGCCAGGGCAAACACAGAGAAACCATCTTGGAAAAAAAGAAAGAAATCATTTCTTGAGGCAGAGACAGGCTAGTCTCCAGAGTTTGAGGTCAGTAAGGTCTACATAGAGAGACCCTGACAAAAAACAAAACAGAAAGAAAAACTGCCTTTAATTGTAGTGTGGGTGGGGGGGATGGTGTGGATTGGAGGCTATTCTGGTCTACAGAGCGAGTTTCAGGACAGCCAGACCTACACAGAGAAACCCTATCTCAAATAACCAAAACAAACTATGCATTTTTTTCTTACTGGTATCAGCATTAGGTGTATGAGATTTGGGTTAAGGACAGACAAATAGTGTACTGGGGTGGTGAATATTCTTACCTACTATGAAGACTGAATTAGGAAATCTTCTGAATACTGGCCCCACTCTTTAAGCAGTCCTGTTAGTATTACCCTGTGTAGACCAGCAGCATTGTTCCCTGACTGTCTATATTAGGGCTAGTCCAGTGTAATATATCCTGAGAGTTTTGAAGAAGATACTTCGTTAACATTGTCCACTAGATACCTGGTATGACTGTCTTTTATTTACATTGTTCAATGCTTAAGGATACTCAGACACTCAGACCACTTCTGATGCCTTCTCAAAGAGCAAGTGAGTATTTCCATTTCCTCCTTTGTTTTAGATAGAGGGTCTCAGGTACTTGAGGCTGGTCAGGAACTCATTTTGTAGCCAAGGATGACCTTGAATTCCTTCTGTTTCTATTGTCAAGCTGCTGGGATACAGGTGTGTATCACTCTGTCCAGCTTTGCAGGATTCTTAAAAAAAACTTTTACTTGTTTGCAAGTGGTCCTATGTTAAGGCTAGTTAAATTTACCCAGGACACCATCTGGTGGTGAAGGGCCTGCAATTGCAGACGTTGAGTGTGAAGGAGGGATTAGAGTGGGGAATTAATGTCATGCTTCTTTTCTCCTGTATAGAATTTAAGAGAGTTTATCCTTGGGAATAAAAACAAGGTCAGTGAGCTGTGTATTGTGGGTCTGTGATACCAGTATTTAAGAGGGTAAGGCAGGAGAATTTTCGGTGGAGACATCTTGGTCTGTATTGTGAGACTACTACTTTTATTAAGAAGAGAACAAGCCTGGCGTTGTTGGCGCACGCCTTTAATCCCAGCACTCGGGAGGCAGAGGCAGGCGGATCTCTGAGTTCGAGGCCAGCCTGGTCTCCAGAGCAAGTGCCAGGATAGGCTCCAAAGCTACAGAGAAACCCTGTCTCAAAAAACCAAAGAGAGAGAGAGAGAGAGAGAGAGAGAGAGAGAGAGAGAGAGAGAGAGAGCGCAAACAGGAACCTGAGGTTAATGAGAAGGAAAGAGGATAAAAGGCACGTGACAAAAATAGTAATATCAAGCTAGTGAGATAATTCAGCAGGTACCATGGTCTGAGGACTAGAGTTTGATCCCTGGGATCCATATAAGAGTGGAAGGAGGGAATTGGTTGCTTAAACTTGTCTTCCGGACACTTTGCTTGCGTGTCCCTCCCCCAATAAGATCGAGTAGGAGGGAGAAATGGGCAACTTTCTCCTGGGGCCAAACTACCACACACGGGGTGTGTACTTTGCTGAATGCTCCCTAAGCATGCTTAAAATTTAGGGGGAAAAAAATCCCTTAATGAACTACAACTCTGCTTAAGGGAAAACCGAGAGCCTGGAGACTGACTTATTAGCTAAGTCAGCTAGTAGGAATGCTTTTTTTTTTTTATTTTTTTGAAATAGCGTTTCTTAGTGTAGTCCCAGCTGTACTGGAACTCTGTAGACCAGGCTGGTCTTGAATTCAGAGATCCATCTGCCTTTCCGAGTGCTGGGATTAAAGAAGGTATGTGCCACCACTGCCCAGCTAGCAATGTTTTTTTTGTTTGTTTGAGAACAGGATCTCTGTAGTCCTGGCTGTCCTGGTTGAGCAGGCTAGCTTCAAACTCACAGATATCCCCCAGTCTCTGCCTCCCAAGGGCTGGTATTAAAGGAGCCTATTACCATGTCTGGCTTAATAATTTTGTTATTAGATAATACTGTGGATTTAAGGTGTTTTGTCAAACTTTGGATAGTTAAGGAAGATCACACTTAACTGCTTCCATTTTACTTTCTTACCTGAGAATGCAAAAATCTAAAAATGCTTTGTTGTTGTCATTTTTTTAAAAAAAGGTTTATTTATACAACATCCTGCCTCCATGTCTGCCTGCAGGATAGAAGAGGGCACCAGATCTCATTATAGATGGTTGTGAGCCACCATGTGGTTGCTGGGAATTGAACTCAGGACCTCTGGAAGAACCTCTGAGCCATCTCTCCAGCCCCTAAAAAATACTTTTTATCTCCCTAAAGTCACAATGTTCATCCAAATGGAGGTTTCAGTCCATATGTATGTTTCTAAGGCCATTTGGTTTTAGCCTGGTTTTCTTTTAAAGTGATTTTATAAATCCAAGTCGTAAGGACCTTAAGGACATTCTGAATAAACAAAGGCCATTGCTTCTGGCTTTAACACTGTTGAACTGTGTTGTATTAAAATACTTCTGTATTTTAGGAATGTTGAGCCTTCAGAAGGGTGGTTTCTTTAGGCAGTATGTGATTTTTGTCTCCTGTAAAATTTGTATTTTGGGGCAGAAGGGGATGACATATTGGATATTTAAAATGAGGACCTGAGCTCTTCCGGTCTCTTTGGCCTCGGCGGCAGAAGCAAGATGACGAAAGGAACGTCATCCTTTGGAAAGCGTCGAAATAAAACGCACACATTGTGCCGCCGCTGTGGCTCTCAGGCCTACCACCTTCAGAAGTCCACCTGTGGCAAATGTGGCTACCTTGCTAAGCGCAAGAGAAAGTATAACTGGAGTGCCAAGGCTAAGAGGCAAAACACTACCGGGACTGGGCAGATGAGGCACCTAAAAATTGTCTATCGAAGATTCGCAGACATGGATTCCGTGAAGGAACACCTAAACCCAAGAGGGCAGCTGTTGCAGCATCCAGTTCATCTTGAGGATTTCAGTCAGTCATAAAATTAAATGTTCTGTTTTCAAAAAAAAAAAAAAAATGAGGACCTGAAAAAAGTTGCATGTGGTTGTGTGCATGTGCTTGTATAGGCCAGAGGTAGCCAGCCATTTGTGTCCCATTGCTCTCAACCTTTCTTTTCTTTTTTGGATAAAAAGACTGCCAGCCACACTTGGCTAAATGTGTGTGCTGGGGATCTGAACTCAGTTCTAGCTGCTTGCTTGGCAGGCACTTTAATGACCTAGCAGCCTCCCTCTATCGACTACACCCTACCTCCCAACCCCAGGATTTTCCCCAGTGCTAAGTTTTGAGGCAGAGTCTCACTAAGTTGTTCTCAGTTGGTCTCAAAACTTGTTCCTAAACCTTGAATACACACTTGACAGGCTGAGAGTTACTATATTAATGTTTACATGGCTTGGCAGTCAGCCTCCTAGGTGCTAGCTTTTTGTAGACCTGCCTTACTTGGATTGGTGGTCTTTATCTTTTTGCCCTTGCTTCTATTCTGTCAAGCGAACAGTACAGCATTAAGTTTGTGTGATGCCACAACATAAATTGAACTCCCTTTATGATTTTAATTATTATTTTTTTTTCTGAAACAAGTTCTTACTATGTGTATTGTTGGCTGGCCTGTAGTTGGATATGTATACTAGTCTAACTTTGAACTCATACTTGCCTGTCAAGTGTCTAGATTAAAGGTCTGCCATTATACCTAGTAAAACTTAGTAATTTTATTTTGTCTTTATTTATTTATTTATTTTTTTTTTGGAGACAAGGTCTCTATGATGCCCTAGCTGGGGTGGAACTTACTATGTAGACTATGCTAGCCTTGAACTCAAATATCTCTTCTGCTTCCAGAATGCTGGGATTAAAGGTGTTTACCACCATGTCCTATTTTAAGAGAAAAGATAGGGTGGTGGTGGTGCA